TGAATATACACAATCTCATTTCTGTAATGAAAATAAAAGAGTTTGCCATTGTTATTACTGGAATTTCGCTTTGATCCAGATTTGCTGTTTTTGTTAATAACTGATAAAACTTTCTCCAGCTTTTAAAGTGGGGCATACTCAAAAGCTTGACTGCGTTCTCTTCAAATGTGCCGATCTGCTGATTTTCTCCGTTTTGGCACTCGGTTAGATAACCCTTTTTTGTTTTGTTTAAAAATGTGGCTCTGGGCTAATGAATGCTTTTGTTTTTGTTCCCAGACACAGTAAACAAAACCAGTGTTTGTGGAACTACAAAGCAGCCTGTCAGCCCCAACAATATTGAGTTTCAGTGGTCTTATTCCCAGACATCTTTGTGCAAAAAATTGACAAAACTGGGGCTGGGAACAGTTGCTGTCTCAAAGTATGAGGCCCTCACTATGGCCTGAGGCACTTTTACTTTAACATGGACCCTACAATTTTTATTGATTATCCTGGTGCTGTAACAACAATTTCCCAATAATTCCAATAAAGTATCTTCCTATAATGTCTGCTCACTCCGAGTAAAGTGCTGTATGTTGCTAAATATAAGCAAAATATGAAAAGAGAACTTCTAAAAAAGTCTCTGCTTCACGTCTCAACAAGTGTCTCTCTCACTGTGGGCTCACACAGACCACGTGATAACTGCTGGCACAATCAGCTGTAATAAATGCGTATCAGACAGCGCGTGCCATTAAATAACTGCCATAAAAGAAGCCAAGTCGCTGCAAAGCTCTTCAGCAGACACACGGTAGCGATGCGGTGTGGAGTTTAACTTTAACAATTGTCGACAGCCGGCATTAAAACTCGACTGTTGCTATAACTGGACTGACATTTAGCAACTCGTTAAGCTTCCCTGGCAACAGCCATTTTATGAGCAGCGGCGGGGGCGTGTTAGAGAAAACTGTTGCGACGACAGAAAGCTCTGAGTTCGGGACACTGCTATCCCACACGACGCTCAAGTAACGAGCACAGCTAACGTTAGCATGACAGCTAAATCTCTCAGCAAGCAGGACCACCACAGTCTGCTAACTTTACCTCCAGCAGGACCGGAAAGCTCTGTGGTCACAATAACTGACGCTAACCGGCTAACTAGCATTAGCTGACAGCTGTTCCGATTCCACTAACTTTCAGCCACCCCCGCACTCTGTTCAAGACTTTAAAATACGCAATAACATGCTTTGTCTTACACTCTTGTCGATGTCCAGTTTGAGCTTCTTCTGTGATATGCTCTTCTGGATTCTCTTGCTGAAGGAGGCGTTTCCAGCAGACCGGCCGCAGCGTTCTCCGTCCTCGATCAGGCAGCAGCTCTGACCGTAAAACGGCGGAGCAGGCGGTCCGTCGTGGCTATCTTCCTCTGTGCTGAACCCATTCATTCTGTACTTGTGACGATGTGCCTGCTTTAACCTCAACAATTAAAAAAAGGAGCGCCAACAAAAAACAAACAGCGTCAGGTGGGACACTTAGTCTCCTGTTCACCCGTTGCCCTTTTATGAAAGACAATTCTGGCAACGTTAGCTAGCGAGCTACCTTGGCTAAGTGGCTACAATGTAAATTTAACAGCCCCTGATGTTTTGATGCCGACTTGCAAGTTATTTAAAAACACGATCGCTGCCATAGGTTGAAGACATATTCGTATATATCTCCGGCAGACTGGCGCCGTCAGTCTCTGCTTACACTGGCTAGCTCCTGTGCTAGCGGTGCAGCAAGGTGGATGAGCTGCCGCTGATGCAGGAATTCCTTCGGTGAGACCGCCGCAGTTCGTCCCTGTAACCAGCCGTCGCTTCTGCGCGTACGACAACAACCTATCTGTAACTCCGAGCTATAAAAACACTGGCGGCTACAGCTTTCTAACCAACTTTGACTAAATTACACATTTAACGACGTGCACCTCTAACGATTACGGCACTCTTTCGAGGAGATCCTACAATGGAACATGCTCTGTCTATGGGGCGGAAGTTCCCATACTGAGCGCCCATTGGCTCATTTCGTACAAAGGCGGGCTTAATGTACAAAAAGTGACATTTCCATTGGCTCTAACCAACTTCAATTTTGCAGCCCAGTTCTTCCTGTATCGTTCGGCGTCAGATGTTTTCTACTATGAATCGGAGTTAAAGGTGGCGTTGCTGCCAGTTAAAGGGGCTTTTGACGACACGACACACTTTCGAAATCAGTTTTTCTTTCGTAATGTTAAAGTTTTATTGATTTTTGACGAGTCACCACTTCTATCACACGAAGTGAGTGTATGCGAAATTGAAGGGGGAACCCCACTTTCGTTAAGTCTGGCTTTGAATCGTTTGCGTTCTTTGGATTCGTGATACGAAGGAGACATTGTTACTAATTTGCATATCGTCACAGTTACTCGTTTACCTCTTCAAACAAACCATCAAAGGTCAATATTAAAAGACTGGTTTGTAGCGGCGTGCTCTCGGGAGCTTAAACAGCATTTAAGCTACATGAGGACAGAGTGAGGACAGAATTGTTCGCATCAACACGGTGCAGTTCCACATTTGACCGCTGGAGGGAGACAAAACCTCACAAATGAATAAAAACCTGAGGAACAACAGACTCCTTCACATGCCGTGCCTTGATTTGGACTACATAGGCCAAAGGTTTTGACTGCTCATCATTCATCATTTTGGTAACATCTCAAGTAATATAACTCCGACTTGACTGTCAAGGATATAAAGCCATTTTAGTGACTAAAAATGTTGGGTTTTATAGTTCAATGGGCAATGGTGTTATCTTTATTTCTAGCCATCCATTTTTCTTCGTGGGGTACTGGAGCCTAACCCTGTTGTCACAGGGTGAAAGCCAGGGTACACCCTGGAGAGGTCGCCAGTCTGTCACAGGGCTAACACAGAGAGTCAGGCGTTCACGTTCATATTCAGATCTATTTAGAATCACCAATTAATCTAACCTATTCAGCCAAACCACATACATGTTTGTATGGAAAGAGGCTGGAGTAACTGGTGATGACACATGCAAATACTTGAAAGGCCCCAGCTGACAGGTGAATTGCAGCCCACAATTTTTTTTTGCTGTGAGGCATCAGTGCTGCCCACCATTCTTTATCTGTAACTGATATCCTTAAATGTTCAAATGCAATTCATTGTGGTTTTCTTTTGCAAAAAGGGGTTGTGTCAAGCGTGGGCTAGTTTCAATTCAGCTTTATTTATATAGTACCAAATCACAGCAACAGTCACTTCAAGTTACTTTCTAAGGTATACTGACTTTTTGTTCAAGTACAGGTCATTCCCAGATCCTAACTTTATCCTAACTTTTAATCCAACTCTGTTATGACATCTGTTGTGCCATATTGCCATCATTTTCCAAATGCCACACCACATTTTGGACTGTAAAGTCCATTGTTATCTTCAATTAAAAGCTGAAAATTACTGAAAAAAAATGTTGTTCAGATTCTGCTCTTAACCTACTTATGTCACAAGATCATAACATGGTTATTACGCTTCATCCATATGTAACTGCTGATCAGTGCTGTTGGCTGTACCTAGGTCTAGGTTAAAGACAAGAAGTGAGGTTGTGTCTTCCAAGTTGTTGAATTCTCTTCAATTGGACTGAACATCTGTGGACGCTGCTGATACCTTAAAAAAGAAGCTTAGCTCCCCCCTGTGCAGGATTGTCTTTAATAAGTTTTATCCATTTATATTGTTTCAGTTGTGGCACATTATGACTATTGCTTTAGATAAGAGCTATAAAAGCACATTTTACTTACAATTACACAATGAAATGTCAGCATAAGTGTGTAGTTATATTTTCTAATACTATTCTTGTAGAAACGACTTGGATGTGTTTGACAGTAGATTAAATTGTGCTTAAGGCAACTGCAGAGCAAGAAGAAATTCAGATTCTTTAGCAAAAAGAAGAAGCAAAATCAATTGTACTCATTCACTAAAAGGGAAAACCATTATTCAGCAGGAAAAAAA